TAAAACACCTTAAGACCCTTCCATCTATGAAGAGCATTTGATTCTACCATATCTGGGTCTTGAGAAGAAGATTTTTGAAATTTTAGTCAATTCGACCCTTTTTGGGCCCGCCCCTCAGGCCCCTGGGGGCTTGAGACTAAACTGGCTACTATTTTTGTTGACCTTTGTCCATGGAAGGTCCCTGCAAAATTTCATTGAAATTGGTTCAGGGGTTTTGGAGAAGAAGACTTTTGAAATTTTAGTCAATTTGACCCTTTTTGGCCCAACCCCTCAGGCCCCTGGGGGCTTGGGACTTAACCGGCCAATATTTTTGTTGACCTTTGTCAATGGAAGGTCCCTGCAAAATTTCATTGAAATTGGTTCATGGGTTTTGGAGAAGTTGAAAATGTAAATTGTTTACAGACGCACGACGGACGACGACGGACAAAAGGCATTCGCAAGAGACTTTGTCTTAGGTGACCTAAAAACGTGAAGATCACAGTTTCATCACCATTTGTAGAACAGGAAACCTATAATTAATTATAGACGCAGTTAATTTGTTTTTCAGCCCACACATCTTTTGTTTGACACTTATGTGTAATTTGACCTCAACAACTGTCTACTGTTGTTCTTGCCTTTTCAGAGACGATGACAAACTTCTGACAAACAATGGAACAGAACAAATTGAACAACGGTTGAAACTGCCAGCTAGACAGGTTTCTAATCTAACCCCCGGGGTCCCCTCCCCAAATAAACTCCCCAGCCACTATATAGTTTACCTCTTTTCCCCTTGGGTTCATCCAAAGTCCGTCTCTTTTTGTACTTCATCTTATATATTCACTCTAAAATGAAAAGAACACAAGACGTCAACAAAATGTGGTAAAAGGTGGTTAAAAAACCTTCAATGGTTACTTTGTAAAAACAGCATGAAGAATACAGCTTCATGTATCTAGCAATATTTATTTTCTTAGATCGATGGTGACCCAAAAACTTTCCAACATTTGATCGACAGCATAACATGTGTGTTGCTATTGTTGGCTCGTTTTTGTCAGTGAACCGGCAGAATAAAACTGCCGATTTTGTTTAACTGGATTGTTAAAATCCCAAAAGCGAGATGAGTCGGGACCCAATGAAACAAAACAGTTGCATAATGTTTGAAACAGCTCATAAACTTCAAATTCTCTTTACCAGTTTGTCAAAATCAATTTACCAGTTTATGTCAAAATCAATTTCAACTTTTACCTGTTTGATTACAAGTCGAACGTCTCGCTGCATCCGCACCTCACCTATCCTGCGGCTTTCCTGTCACGTGATTTCCAGAAAACGGCGGGAATGTTTTGCATAGCAATTAACATCAAAGGTCACTGAGCTAAAAAGGTCGCCGCACGTTGTCCCACAGGAGAAAGCTATAGCGTTAAATTTCGCAGTTGATACCATTTTGGCATGGCATGATTGTTTTTTTTTAATTTCTTGTTGCAGTAAATTGTTCAACACTAAAACAATAGTGAAAGACACTCTAGTTAGATATACACAAAAAAGGCATATAGGCTCACTTTCTGTCAAACGACTATATCTAAAACAAAACCACGTCAACGATGATCAGATTTCGGTATTGCCGCCATATATTTACTGCTGTGGATCAAGACCAGAACTCACAGGGAGAGTGGTGGCCATAATTATTACACTACATTTTGGGGTATTTCTATACTCGGTGTAATTCATTAATTTCATAATCTGAATTTTTTTCTCTCCGTATATTTGTTAAATGTATCACAAGTTTATCTCCACAATACGATTTTGTTTTTAATATAAGAAAATGGCACGGCAAAATTTTCATTCCTGAAAAATTCTTTAAAATATGTATAAATGCATGATATACATTGTATGGCATCCTCGAAATTCCAGCGGTTAGTTACGCTCACTTATATAACCTTTGGATGATTATTGTATACGAGTTCGATCCTTCGATATACATCAAAAGAAACGTGCGAGGTAGCGTAACGGTAAAACTCACCGACTTCGAAGTCGGGTACCGTTCCTCAAACCTTTAACCTTTAACATACATTCCGTGTCCTAAAGCTAAAGCTTTGATATAATGAAACATTTTTTTGCGTATTGATCGCTTCAAAATTCTTTCCTGATAGACTGTAAACTAACCTGTTGTACCTCGTTCTTTCAACATGACAATGGTCCTCGGGTTTTACAGCTACATTTACTTTGCCGTGACATCTTAAGCCTTAAACATAAATACAGGGAAAGGCTTTAAGCCTAATACAACTTCGCCCGTGTCATTGATTACTTCGTGTGTAACTGTCCAAATACCCTTTTAACGAAGGCCTAGCGTCTGTCCGTCCCAGTTTCCAAAGCATTTATCGGTCGTTTCATGTTTTAACATCATTTGGTACGTACATAATGAAAAGGCGACCAAAAATGGTACAGTGACATCTATTTAACGTTTGAACCTTGACCTCAAGTACCGGATACAGGTTTCCGGGGCATATTCCGAACATTGTTTTATGTATGGACTTTCGACATTATATGAGCGCTGTGACGGGTACCAAACTAAGAACAGTGCAACCCCCTATTTGGCATTTTACCTTGACCTTAAACACCGAAATACATGTTTCCGGCGCTCCATGACCTATGACCATTGACCTCAAGTGCAGCAATTTTTTATACCATATCTCACTCATATATCCATGTAGGAAGATCTTAATTTGGAATGCATACATATGATGTTCTGCGCGTGTTTTGTTCACCAAAATGGGGGTCGCTACGACGGGTATTTTACCATGTGCATAGCTGGACTGTAAACGATGTGCATGAACAGTTTATTATCTAGCCATCCTGAGGAGTCCACCCCACCGGGCCCTTCTCTTTACATGCGGGACAAAAATGAAATCTAGAAGCGATCTGGTTGTTATTTGGAACAATATTTGCGCTTATATTTCATTTGATTTTTTTTTTAGATTTTCCGAAAAGAAAAAGAAGCTGAATTGTTAATTATATTACAGAAACCAATTTAAGAATAAAATTAACTTGAAGTTTCGTAATACTATGAACCAAATTAACCTTTGTTAAAGGATACAAACATTTAATCACTATTTCGAACCATACACAATCAATAGATATTACACTCGAGTAGCGGAACTTGACTTGGTCGATTGCCGGCGACCAGGTGGCTCAATTGGTAGAGCGTTCGTTTAATTTTCGGAAGGTCCTAGGGTAAAAATGACACCCCGTTGATCATATATACAGTATAACCTGTCCAAACCGGATGTCACCAGGTCCAAACTATGTGTCCGGTTTACACAGGTGTCCGGTTTATACAAGGTCGGTATGCCATTATTTGAAAATTAAAAAATGTAGTGTTTTGCACACGATCTGTATACAAGTGTGTGAACATAAACAACAGAGATATGAATCAATTGGAACGTTTAATTATTAACAAAAAACAAAGTTTATGATACATATGTATGAAGGGCAACCTAAAATTGGATAGTGCTAATTTGTTTAGAATGTGTTTGCTTTAGATTGTAGCCGGCCGAGAGAAATTTCGGGACCGGAATGAACAGGTTGTTTTACATGGATAACTATGCCAACTTTTGTGAACCAACGCCGGCTTTCGGAATGGACAGGGTCCGATTTATACAAGGTTTAATTACTATGATTATAAAGGGAATATGCCGGGACCACAAATCACGACCGGTATAGACAGGGATCCGGATTGGACAGTGGCCGGTTTAGACAGTCTATGCTGTATGTATACGAGAAGGGGAAAGTTCTCGATGTCGAAAAACCGACCCAACCTAACTTTCTTGCATCAAAAACAACATTTTTAGTTGATATTCGGTAAAATGCTTAGTACCGTTGGAAAGACGGATAATTTTTCTTTTATATACTATATGCACGTGAAATGTATTCTCCTTCCGCGGAAATGATCTCCATTTCCTCCAAAAGCACACGCCATTTCAGAGTTTCAAAGTTTTTCGCAGGCATCGAGCCACCGTACATCAACTAGAAATCTTGTTGTTTTTTTATGCAAGAAAGTTAGGTGTGGTCGACTTTTTGACATCGAGAGCTTTCAACCCTTCTCGTATATATATAATTATCATTTTGAGTGTCATTTTTACCGAAAGTCGATCTAAACAAATTCTCAGGACAGGTTTATGTCACGGGGTTGTATCGTGTGTCTTCGGGTTCGACGACTTTGTTTAAGGAGAGAGGGATGTAAGTAGCGGAACTAGACAGGGTCGATCGCCGGCGACCAGGTAGCTCAATTAGTATATATTTTATCTCGAGTTTGGCAGAGGGTCCCGGGTTCAAACGCCGGTCTGGCCGTGTATTTTCTCTTTCTCCTGTTACAATTGCTATCGTTTCAAGTCGATAGAGGGAGGGTATTCACGATGTGCACGCTTCGAGTTAAATCAAACATGTTAATTGTTTTTTCATACTGCAAGATAGATCCGTGTAGAACCATATCCGGATATATGAGTCCGTCTTTTTTGGAGGTTGGCTCCAGATGTTAGGCGTTATGTAAGCAATGGCGGCGCCCTGCGAACAAGTGTCACGTTGGAGTGCGCCCAGTGGAAATGTGTTTGGGGTGTATATATAGAAATACAGGTTTGCAGCATCATGGAAATTTCAATTATCTAGTACTGACATACATTTTTGATGCTTTGATACTTCCAAAATGAATTGCCAGATGAGAAATGTTTTGAAAAATTGCATCAGTCGCCCATATGTCCGTTCCTGGGACCGGGCTATGGTATACACACAAGTCACTAGAACGAGATGTGGGCAGTGTAGTCTGTTTGCATCTCTACCTTCAAAGGTTAGAGGCTTCCATACAGCGATTTCACAGAGACTGCAGCATAATTTCAGTGTGCGTGTGCAAACGACTCGAATACCTACCCAGCAACCCACCCGAACCATACACCGTGCTGTTATTTCCAACTCAAGTACACGATTTATGCAGTGTAGGGATCTACTAAGTAAGCATGGAATAAATAAATGCCAGGCTAATCGTGTAAGAGTTTATTGTTCCAAGGCTGGAAATGTAAAGAAAGGAATAAAGATCCCACCGACATCTGAGTTCAGAAGACTTCTCTCTCTTGCCACACCTGAGAGATGGAGACTAGCAGGTTTGTTACACTTTCTAAATGGAGACTGACAGGTTGCCACACTTCTGAAAGTGTAAAAAGTTGGGGAATGTCAAACCTGTTAAATGGTGCCCCTCCCCCCCTTTTTTTACACTACTTAAACATTGATTAATAATCTTTAAAATCCTGAATATATTTGTAGAGTTCAGGGCCGTCACTCACATTAAATTAATTTAAATTGACATATTGGTAACTTTGCCATTCAGATTTGTTCTTACTTTAATTCTCAACCAAATGACATTTTTATATTTGGCTGTAAATCAAGATAATTTCAATAAGATTCATTTGGACCATGCATGAACAGTCAAGGTGAACAGGGCGTTCAATTTATCAAATTTTAAGTATGAGATTTAACTGGATTTAATATGGATATACTTTATTGTAAATGACTGATATATTCTGTATACAGATATAGTTCATAAATGGTTAAAAAAATCACATTCATTAACAATAATATTAACATTGTCATAGCTTCCTTTAATTAGTTGCTGGTTATTTCCTTTTCACCAATACATGTGGGTATACAATGCTCTATTATGCCAAGCTCTTTGTAAGAATCTACCACACATTTCTGAAGTTGAATTATTTAGACAAATGTAAACATTTTCAAACTCTAGGTCATTTACCATGTTTTATATATGTATACGTATGAATTGATATGATTTTTAACTCTTTTTTTTTTTTGAATGGAGGCATATCTGCCTCTATGTTCAGATTATAGTCCATATTTAATCTCCATATCCAAACAGTGAATCTGAGTACAAAGAAGATTGGATTTTTAAGATGTTCCATAATGCATTTCGTAACAATTGTTTCCAACAATATACCTTACTGCTAAGTAAGTTAACCTGATGTAGGTATTAAAACAAGAACCTTGGGCATTAAAATTTGGAACAAATATTCTGCTATGTGTAATTGCAATACAACTAATGTTATTCTATTCCAGCTTCCCTTGGTTTACTAGTGGTGTCCAGTGCAGTAACGATGTCAGTACCATTCTGTATAGGGAAGGTGATTGACATTATCTACACAGAGTTGGTCAATCAGGGTGACAAGATGAAGGAGAGGCTACAACAAATATGCAGCATTCTTGTTGTCATTTTTATTATAGGGGGCCTTGCCAACTTTGGTAGAGTCTATCTAATGAACTTAACAGGTAGGTAACAAACTTCATAGTAATTGATATCAAGATGACCTTACTATTTATCATTGATCAGACATAAAATTCATGGCATATTTGGTTAAATATAATAGATGATCCTTGTTTCGAAATTGAAAAAAAAAGAATAAAAAAATCATTAATTCTGTATTAGGAGACTGGATTTTTTTTTTTTTTAGTTTTTACTTGTAGTGTTTTTTTCTATTTTTAGGTAACAACATTGTTCGGCGCCTGCGATCACAACTATTTTCTTCCATCATGAGACAGGAAATTGGCTTCTTTGACAAAAACAAAACTGGTGAACTCATCAACAGATTGTCCACGGACTCATCTTTAGTGGGGAGCTCAGTTACAACAAATATCTCTGATGGCCTTCGGTCAGTTGCTCAAGCTGTTGGAGGGGTCAGCATGATGGTAAGGGTCTAGTGTGGCCAATTGTGAGGATCAAGATCAAATCAAAGTCAAATATATTTGGTTTTTAAATTTAATGAGTCTTAAATGTCCATGAACACAATTCAAAGGTCATCAGGGTCAAATGGTAAACTATGGATTAACATTAAATATTTAATGCCAAGACAGAAAGGGAATTAATGGATGCATGAGATCAGATTTGGTCTGCAATGCCTCCTTAGCTGAGGACACAAAAGAAATCAAAATATTCCATATACATGTATTACCTTACAGTGATACAATATAAAATTAAACTTAATAATTAAAACTGCTTGTATTTATGTGTGCTGGAAGCAGGGTATGTTGGTGTATTTGTCTTCTTGCAATAGTGCCTATCTTATGCCGTCTTAATAGTGCTACCTCACTGAAATACCAAGTCTCAAGGACAAAGGTCAAATAAGTGCATGATTTTCGGTAACATCTACTCTGTACCTTAACTTTCAAACCATGTAAGATATCTTGATGAATCTTGCAGTATAACTGCATCACCTCAGACGATGTGCAGTGCAATGTCACTGTGACCTTGACCTCAAGGTCAAAGGTTAAATAAATGCAAAGTTTTCAGGAACATTTAGTCCGGCCAAAATTATATGATGGTACTGTGAATTTGAATAGTTGAATACTGTCAAGCTTAATTACAATGAACAGAGAAATCATGAACCTCATGACCCAATTATATTATTTAACTCCCTTTATTGATTCTTTTCTGTGTTCTTTGACTTTGATGTATCAAATACCCTGTAATGACTGTCCATGGCCCCGGGCAATGCTCCAACAGACAGGAATTTGTATATAACACTAAATGATATACCCATGTTTTATTAAATATTCCCCTCTGTCCTATGTCTGATCCTGTATTACAAAACAACATGAATTTATACTTTTCTGGTGATCAGACCATGCTTGGTATCAAACATATCTTACAATTGGAGTTCTTTAATGAATATGTTGGGTATATAATGTAAGATTATGTTCCTCGCAAGTCAACCCTTCCCACCCCAGAATTATCATATGTGAAATGCAAATAAAAGTTTTGTAAAATAATGATAAATATGCATTGAGATTAACTATCAAGTTGGATACATGTGGTAACTCTTTGTGAACCGTTTCAGTGCTACGTTTCACCCAAACTGGCAGGGATAGCCCTCTGTATTGTACCACCCATTGTTCTGATGTCTCGGTTTTATGGTCGGTACGTGAAAAATATTACCAAACAGGTGCAAGACTCGCTGGCCTCGGCAACACAGGTAACCTCCTAACCACATGTCAGATTTAAAGTGACTCAATCAGTGTCGCCATATAAAGTGTATGTAAATCAAATATTTTCAAGTGATTAGATCATAGATAACAAAAAATAAAAAAAGCATTTTACAATCTCCTAATATATTGTTTTTGTTCAGTAAATTAAATTAATACATATTTTAGCTCACCTCCCACAACAAAGGCAACAAGAGTGACTGATAAAACTTGATAAAACTTGTTATATAGTTATTATAAAATAAAGGTTACATATAGGGTACATGTATTTGGATATATTGAAATACCAGCTGACAATATAAATACCATACTTCAGGTTGCGGAGGAGAGGATAAGCAGTATTAGGACAGTCCGATCATTTGCACAGGAAAAGAGAGAAGTTGCAGCTTATGATGAGAAAATTGACCATATTCTGATGCTGTCATACAAGGAAGCCCTGGCTCGAGGCATTTTCTGGGGATCGGTCAGTAGCTATCAGGGTCCTGGTGTTAAAAATCTGATGTATCCATAATTTAAAAGAAATAATTAATTTGCTTTTAAATAGCTGTGTTTGAATAAAAGTGAAATGGAAAACACTACTTTGAAATTCAAACTTATTATGAAAAGAAACACAAAAATAATTGTAAAATTTGATTTGAAAAGTTTCATTTTAAAAACTTTAGAAAATTAATTAATCAGGCTTTGGATATCTACAAGATAGAGTCTTATGTTCTTCTGTTTTTAAACATCTTTATACTCTCCAGAGTATTAAAATATAGATATATTTATATTCCTCTAATGAATCAATGAAGATGTTTTTTCTTTCCATTATAAGACTTCAGATTTATCCCTGATCGAATAATTCTTCAGACTTAATGTTTGATATGTTACTTTACAGACAGGGTTCTCTGGTAACATGATCATATTGTCTGTGTTCTACTCTGGGGGACTGATGATGACTGAGTCACAGATCTCCGTGGGGGATCTGTCGGCCTTCCTGTTGTATGCTGCTTATGTGGGCGTCTCTATAGGAGGTATGTGGACAACCAGGTTTATTAATGTTTTATAGTAAGTGATTTTCTTTATGTCACCCACTATTCATTTAGTGATGATTGACAGGATGAATATTGGATGCGTAACATTCATGCTGGTTTCGTAATTCCAAAGGATTATGATCCTGCCTTTGTTATTAAATATTTCTCCGGATTGGTATAGATATTGTTGTATTTCACCTGTTTTGATAAAAAAAAAGATGGAATGATCAGACATGCATAATTGTTACTTTGTGTTTATGAGAAATGTCACAAAACATAGATGATATTATAATTTTTATCCCGCGCTTTCACCGAAACGGGGGATATTAATTTGGGTCCATCTGTCTGTCTGTCTGTCGGCCAAGTTCGATGGCCACTTTCAGCACAACCCATTTGGTGGAGTTATGGCCCCTTGAATAATGAAAAACGTCATTATCTGCCGCACTTCGTTTCCGTGCAATAACTACAACAAATATTAACACATTTTCTTCAAACTTGGTCACAGGGTTAAATGCCTTAAGGGCTCGGCCAAGTTCTATGGCCTCTTTCAGCAGACCCTATTTGGCAGAGTTATGGCCCCTTGAATAATGAAAAAACATCATTATCTGCCGCGCTACGTTTCCGTGCAATAACTACAACAAATGTAAACTGATTTTCTTCAAACTTGGTCACAGGGTTAAATGCCTTAAGGGCTCGGCCAAGTTTGATGACCACTTTCAGCGGACCCCATTTGACGGATTTATGGCCCATTAAATACGAAAAAACGTAATTATCTGAATGGTTTTGTTTCTGTGCAAAAGCTACAACAAATGTTAATCGATTTTTTTCAAACTTGGTTCGATTTTTATGAAAATTGATATATAGGGATATTAGGGGATTGCGAATTCAACCACATGGGTTTCGTTGCCATAGCAACCACAGGGAGGCCCCTGAGGGGTCAAAATTTAGATATTGTTCGATTTTGATGAAAATTTATATATAGGGATATTAGGGGACTGCGAATAAAACAGCTTTAGTTTCGTTACCATAGCAACCATATAGCAACTACACGAAGGCTTCTGATTGGTGGAAATTCAGATATTGTTAGATTTTGATGAAAATTGGTATATAGGGGTACAAGGGGACTGCGAATAAAACCGCATAAGTTTCGTTTCCATAGCAACCACACAAAGGCTTCTGATTGGTCGCAATTTAGATATTGTTTGATTTCGATGAAAATTGGTATATAGGGGTATTAGGGGACTGCAAATTTAATCGCATACATTTTGTTGCCATAGCAACTACACAGAAGATTCTGATTGGTTGCAATTTAGAATTTGTTCAATTTCACTCAAATTTAGTATGTACATTGTAGGTGTACTATGGCAATGCGACCCTTTGCTGATGCATCTTTGCAACTATGGGGGCAGTTTGGGGGACATCTGTAATGGTCCCCCATTACAATTAGTACTTGTTGCTGTAGAAATTGTTCAGATGTTTCAACCAAATTCCTTATGCACACCCAACTCATGCTAAGTTTGCCAACTGATGTGATTTGTGCATATTTACAGATACTCAATGAGGTATAGGGCTTTTTTTTCTTCTTCAAATTTCAAGCTATATATTATGTCTCAACAGCACGATACTCACATGTTTAAACCTAACCTCAATAATGTTAACCTACAATATGTCCTGCAAGCGGGGGATATCAATTCCACGAATTTGCTTGTTTATAATGCTTTGTTGATCATCTGTGTGCAAACATTTCCAATCAGTTGGTATGATGAATGATTCATGATCATTATGTGAAGGGGCAGAGTGCACTGATATAACAATACATAGAAAGGAGTTCACTGGGTGATATCAATAGAAAGTGTAAACATTTTATTTAGAGATTGCAGTTTTAAGTCACAGTTTCCTTTTTAAAATGCACAAAAATCCATACGTTTGATTTGTTATGTACCACATGACCCCGTATGAGGTCTCTGTGTTGATACAGGGACACAGACATTGAGCAGTAAGTGATTGTTTTCTTTGGCACCGTACCATAAATAATCTTGTTTACTACTCAAAGTATATGCCTGTGGTTTATTTGCTGTTACAAATTAATCTGTTAATATTAAATGATTTTTTGTGTCATGTAGGAATGACAACTTTCTACTCGGAGATGATGCGCGGCCTAGGTGCCAGTTCTCGTCTGTGGTACCTCATGGACAGGACGCCAACCATTCCTGTGTCAGGTGGGTCAAACGGAAATTTGTGCTTAATTGATGTTTAATCAATATGGAGATTGATGGTTTATCAACCTCAGGCAATTAATTGGGGTTAGTAGCAACCCGGGACTGATGCAGTCGGTGTGAATCTAAACCTTGGGTGATCATACCTGTATGAACAAATGTTCAATGCTGCTTGTGATACTGTTACTACAGAGACAAAGATATAAAAAAATGGAAAATTCACTTCATAGCCATTTCTCATAAATAGTTGTGTTATAACAAAGAGAAATCAACTGTGAATATAATGCACGTTACATTAAGTAAAATTAGCTGTGATTTTGTATTGTGATGTTTGAATAATAATACAAGAATAGTGTTAGCCTATGTTAGGAATTTTGATGTAATGAATGCTATTGCTGTAGGTGGAGTTATACCTACCTCAGAAGTTGTGGGAAACTTAAGCTTCAACAACATAACCTTCAGCTACCCAGCAAGGTCAGATATGCAGATATTCTCCGACCTCAGTCTGTTGGTACCTGCGGGATCAGTAACAGCAGTTGTAGGCGCTAGTGGGTCTGGCAAGTCTACTCTGGGGACACTTCTACTCAGGTTCTACGACCCTACTAAAGGTAAGTATATGTAAAGCAAGGATAAAGGTCTGATGAGTCTAATCTCAGGATGCTCATACATTGGTATTACAATCCTCATCAAGAAAAATACATGTAAAGCATGAACAAGTGTCTAGTATGTCTACTCTGGGGATACTTCTACTCAGGTTCTACGACCCTACTAAAGGTTAGTATATGTAAAGCAAGGATAAAGGTCTGATGAGTCTAATCTCAGGATGCTCATACATTGGTATTACAATCCTCATCAAGAAAAATACATGTAAAGCATGAACAAGTGTCTGGTATCTCTACTCTAGGGACGTTTCTACTCAGGTTCTAGGACCCTTTATGAGATATTTAAATTCAATTCAAGAACATGGGGAATAGACTGGGTTTGTTAACTTTCAAGGCTTTTATATTCAGGCAGAAAAGTCCCATTCTGGTCTCTCATACTCAGTTTCTGTGACCTAAAACGAGGTATTGATAGAAGGAAACAGAGGTCTGGTAGCAGAGAGTTCCATTTTAAAAAGATACTCATAGACAAAGTGATACCTCTGGTTCTATAACTTCAGATTTTAAAAGAAGTTAGGGTTCAGGCACACCAATAAATATCTAGGGGTATATATCTTTTTATAATAGATATACTGGGTAGCACATGTACATATATATTGAAACATTAGAACATTGACTATTACAGAATATGTGTTACTAAAAATTATATTCATGTACCTCAAAGTTAAGTTAGTTACTTTGATATATGGTCATTTGTCTTGCACAGAATTTCTTTCCTTCTCTTGGCTTTGAATATTCTAATTATATATATAGATAAATAAGTATAATTTACTCTTTTTATTTACATATCTTGACCTGTATATCTACATGTATAGCAGTAGTGATTGTTACCAGTGCTGTAATTGTTTACAGGAAGTGTTGTGTTAGACCAGGAGAACATCCGCGACCTTGACCCCATGTGGCTGAGGACACAGATAGGAAGTGTGAGCCAAGAACCTGTCCTCTTCTCTTGCTCTGTGGCAGAAAATATTGCCTATGGAGCTCAAGATCCAACCAAGGTCACTGCTGAAGAAGTTGAGGAGGCAGCTAAGAAAGCTAATGCCTATCACTTCATACAGACATTCCCAGAAGGATTCAACACCATGGTCGGGGAGAGAGGTCTTATGTTGTCAGGTAAATACACTTTTATAACAGGAAACATTTCTGGTTACTTGTTTTATGGCCTTCATGCTTAAAAACCATTTTGTAGATAAAAAAAATTGCAATAAGGCACTATTTGCGTCATTGAGATGCAGACTTGAATGATAATTCACAACAGCGTAACTAATAATTTATGTCATACAGTTACATATTTTTTTTTATATAAATCTATGATATTTTTTTGTTCAAAGGTGGGCAGAGACAGCGGGTAGCCATAGCCAGAGCTATCCTTAAGGTAACAAAGTTTTCTCTGACAGTAGTGTAACTTGTATAATTGTTATGTTGTAGGGTAGGTGTTAAGGGAGGCGGGTGTTGGTAGACTTATATGAATACCTGTGTTGGTAGACTTATATGAATACCTGTGTTGGTAGACCACTTTTGATGCCCCCAATGGTATATAAACTGAACCTGTATTAGGAGACCACTATTTGGACTTTGCAAGGGTGGTCTCTTAATTCAGGTTTGATTGTAATACGGTACTCAAATAAACAATGGTTAACTTACAGCCCATAAGGATGGGATTCTGTTGTGTAGTGTCATTCAGTGGAATAAATTGCTTTATAATATTATACTTTTGGTATGCTACATATCTGTATCATACTGTTTGTAGGGTATGATCTGTTTTAATGCATAAGAACCAGAAATGCATCTGCTGGAAACCATCTTCTAAGACATTTATGTAATTGAGAACAAAGAAAGAGAAATTAAATTTGTTTTTGTATTCCACAGGATCCCAAGATTCTCCTTCTAGATGAAGCTACCAGGTAGGACCATCTGTTATGATAGGTTTAATGAATTAGAAAAAAAATGGTAATCAGAGGGAATGAAAAAGAGCCTTAAGCTTATGTAACTTGTAAGCCCTTTAAAATAACCTAGTATTAGAAGAAAAAAGGTTTGATACAAATTCGTGTAACTTGTGATCTCCAATTAATTATTTTGAAGAAACGTGTGTTAATATTTCAAATAATAGATATCTATGAATTGTTTTTCTATGTAATCATAAAGGAGTTTGGAACATTTTGTTCTTTTATTAATTACTGTTAGATTAATTGGATTAAAGTGATTCTTTGTCTACACTATACAAAAGTTTAATAAAAGGCTTCAGATGACTAAGAATTTTGTATACTATCATGAATAAATATGTACATTATATGTTATAAAGTTAAATGTACATGTATAATACCAATGGACACAAAGTGTGCTTCATTATACGCAGAAAAGTCAAAGTTTTACTTTATGCACAAACAATGTACATATCAAATGTCACAACATTTCATGACCTTCTGGTACCTTTGTCATAGCTTGACAATTGGTCTTGAAATGTCGTGACACATTTAATACATACATTGTTTGTTAATAAAGTAAAACTTTGGTTTTACATAATACCAAACTGATGAATCTTATTTAAGATACAAAGTCGTGAAGTTTTCGGACATGGCTTTTTCTGTGTATTGCAGTGCCCTAGATGCGGAGAGTGAGTACCTGGTACAAGAGGCACTAGAGCGGGTTATGGTTGGGCGAACCGTCATCACCATAGCTCATCGTCTGTCAACAATTATGAAAGCCGACCAGATTGCCGTCCTGGACAAGGGAGCTATCGCTGAAGTGGGAAGCTACCGACAGCTGATGGGTCTCAACAATGGCATGTTTAGGAAACTGGTGGAACGCCAAACCATAACATCATGACGGGGAACTAGTGAAACGTTAAACCATAACATTGAGACAGGAAACTGATGGAACCCTCAACCGTAACATCATGACAATGTCAAAGGAAACTGATGGAGTTGCATAACCATAATAGATTGTCAGGAAATCAGTGAAAATAGCTAGTACTTACAATAAGATGATATGAACTGTCCAGTCTTCAGTAAATGTGATGTGATATCGTTTTATGAATTTATGTATCAAGAAAAATGTGCAGTGGCTCTGTAAGAGGGGAAAATAACATTCACATTTTACATGTACTACAATGGTACATCTTGTCATTGCAACAGAAACTGTAAACTTACATCTAGCATTTGCCAATGTCAAACCCCATTTTATTTATTTACTGGCTTGCTGCTAGTATTCTTATTAAGCGTCATTCCTCATACAGTAAAAACAGGATATGTGCTACCTTACAAATACAGGCTTTCTCCATTTGTTTATAAATCAGAACCGCTTTATAGATATCATACAGGCTTTCTCCCTTCGTTTATAAATCGGAACCGCTTTATAGATATCATACAGGCTTTCTCCCTTTGTTTGTAACTCAGAACCGCTTTATAGATATCATACAGGCTTTCTCCCTTTGTTTGTAACTCAGAACCGCTTTATAGATATTAATGCATTCAGTCTTGTTTACCTTTCAAATGTGCAGCCAAATACTCCAAAGTCGAAATTATTATTCATCAGAGATATTTTAGATAATATAATATTGTGGAACACTTGGAGGAATATGCATGTCTGTGAGTTAGGTAGCATTATCCTTACACTGGACTTGGTGACTCTTATAACTTGGTCATTCTAGCAAAATGTTAAGGATCCCCATACCTTTACCATCAAAATATAAACTATTTGTTGGTGAAAAAAAGTCTAGCATGACTATACAGCAGTTTTGATGAAACATTTCTGCTAAGAAAACCAGTCCTTGCAGATGTTTATGCCAAAATGAATAGAGACGAAATAAACCATAAAGAATCCCCAGCAATGTTTCGAGTGTTCAGGTCTGAAGGTCGGACCAGAATTCAAAGCCTGTAATCCAATCATTATACTGTCATTCTAACCAACTAAACATGGTGAATGCATGGACAATTGCTGGTGAATTCTTCTAGTGTTTTGCCTGCAGTGGATTAGGGATTCCAACTCATTCACCCCTGAAGACACATTTGGACTCTTCTAGTTCAAATGTTGGAAAAGGTAATTATGAAATTTTAGGGGTGAATGATTTAACTATTATTAGCTCACCTGGCACAAAGTGCCAAGTGAGCTTATGCCGTGGCGCGGCGTCCGTCGGCCGGCCGGCCAGCTAAACGACTTCTTCTTAATAACCGAAAGGCCTAGGGTGTTGATATTTGGCCAGAAGCAAACTTGGATGAAGGGCTACAAAGTTTGTTAAAATTTATCACCTTCACCTATTTTCAAGGTCACAGGGGTCAAATATATCAAAAACTTTAACATCTTCTTCTCAATAACCAAATTGCCCAGGGAGATGATATTTGGCCAGTAGCATGCTTTGGTTAAGGGCTACCAAGTTCGGTTAAATGAATGACCTTCACCCATATTCAAGGTCACAGGGGTCAAATATGTTAAAAACTTTAAACAACTTCTTCTGAATAACCAAAATGCCCAGGGTGATGATATTTGGCCAGTAGCAAGCTGAGATGAAGGGCTACAAAGTTTGTTCAAATGCATGACCTTCACCTATATTCAAGGTCACAGGGATCAAATATGTGAAACATTGAACAACTTCTTCTGAATAACCAAAACGCAAAGGGTGATGATATTTGGCCAGTAGCATGCTGAGTTGAAGGGCTACAAAGTTTGTTCAAATGAATGACCTTCACCCATATTCAAGGTCACAGGGGTCAAATATGTTAAAAAATTTAAACAACTTCTTCTCAATAACCAAAATGCCCAGGGTGATGATATTTGGCCAGTAGCATGCTGGGATAAAGGGCTATCAAGTTTGTTCAAATGAATGACCTTTACCTATATTCAAGGTCACAGGGGTCAAATATGTGAAAACATTAAACAACTTCTTCTGAATAACCAAAATGCCCAGGGTGATGTTATTTGGCCAGTAGCATGCTGGGGTAAAGGGCTATCAAGTTTGTTCAAATGAATGATCTTCACCTATAATCAAGGTCACAGGGGTCAAATATGTGAAAAACATTAAACAACTTCTTCTGAATAATTAAAATGCCCAGGGTGATATTTAGTCAGCAGCATACTAGGATCAAGGGCTACCATAAAATCTTTAAACGACCTCTTCTGAATAACCATGGTTCCCAGGATGTTGATACTTTGCAAGTTGCATCCTGTGATGAAAGTCTATAAAATTTGTTCAACATAATGACTTAATTTGCCTGTAGCTTTATTTTAGATCACTTTTAAGGTTACAAGTGTGAGATTTATACCAGGTGAGCAATGCAGGCCCATTGGGCCTCTTGTTATTTAGTAGGGCTACATTCGCGTTACCGGTTGAAACGGTACGTGTGGCGCAGAAATTTTCCACGATAAACGAACACACTTGGACCGTTCTATAAGCAGAGCTAAAAATGCACAGTTTCGGAGGATAAAAAAACAATGTATCAAGAATATTATGCCCTTCTCTCACGCGTCCACTAAATTACATAACGTATCTTAAAAACTACATGTGGCTTGACATTGTTTGAGAAAGAAATAACCCAAACTAGCAATATTCAGCAGTTTAGTTTCGGCCAGGTACGTCTGGACCCCTCAATCTACACGTACCAAATTTTCCTGAGGTCAGCCTCGGTCCAAATCTGTACCTGTCGTTTTCTTTACAGGTTCAACCGGTTCAACCGTTTCAACCGGTAACGCGAATGTACCCTAGGATAGTGATCAGTACACGCCTATATCGGATATCTCAGTATGTTTGGTACTGTGGAAATATTTTAGACCAGGGTTGGTGATGGGAAGAACATTTTAGTCCCAGAATATTGTTTAGTTGTTGTTTTTTCTCGTTTCTTTATGACAATGAAAGAGCTCCCTTTAAAGATAAATGTTCTGTATTGCACCTTAACTTTGCAGGGTAAAACTTTAAGCAGTGTTACAACTGGGCGAACCCTGCAGTGCTTTTATTTCATGCTGCATCACTTATTTGCTGAAAATTTTACCTGTGGGATTGACAACGGCAGATTCTTTAAGTGGGATAAAAATAACTGAATGAGTCTGGAATGCTCATGTTTAAAGGAACGGTTTACAGTTAGTCACATAGAAAGTATATTTGTTTTTGTGGTTTTTTTACAATTATGTCCATGTGATTTTGGTATGAAGACATGTAGGTACATGTAGCTGTTCAGTGTGATTGATAATTCTTTCGTTGGAACTGATGATGTGACAAGGTGTATGTGGTGCTGTGATAAAATGTGTAACAACATGTCAACCTTGGCTGCCTCTCTATACAAAATAATATTTAAACAGATTTATCATAATATATGCACTATTTTTTTCCAAACAGTGTTGTGGTTTTTTTTTATTTAGAGACTGTTATTTACATCATTACTGTATACCAGGAAATTTTGCTGAAGGTTTCCTTTTGCCTTTTCCTATCTCCTCAATGAGGGCAAATCTATCATTACAGCAAATATTAATACACAACGGAAAATAATACTTATTGCATGTGAAGGGTGAAATTAACGCTAGACGAACATAGATTTTAGGGCGAATATTTGACTGGCGGACATTTACTGGTATACAGTTTATAAAGTAAAGCTCTTTCATTTCAATTGCTTCCAATGTTATCTCGACTATGACAGTAATAAGTTCGTAGAAACAGATTGTATCCCAGAACAAAACAGGCATGAAACGTTTGGTATGAGATTTGTGTTTTATTTCACTATTTGATATATATTGTCAATAAATGTATGCCAGCAATGTTTTATGATAACGTAGACACAAGCACTAGCCAATACTGCAACACTTCATTTTCCTGTTATTTATTTCCTTGGGAAGAAAAGGATATTATTAAAATGTTTGTTTCAAAATATGGTTCTATTTTGAATGTATGCAAAAAAGAAAACAAAGGGAGAAATAAATAGCAGCAAAATTAAAGATGTCAACAGGTTTTGGCTGAAGAAACAGGTGACAATACACACATCCGCTCTGCCATCACAATCATAGATACAGAAAGTTAAAACCCAGTCCCTGGGATACACCACCACTAGCTGCTGGTAACCTTGAAAACATATCACCATGGCAACAATATTCCAAGATGCCATGAATCTAAAGTGTAACATGTAAAATCAACTATTATTTCATGTGAAACAGTCCAGATCTGGTTACAAGCTGTAGGTGTTTTGTTCTCCGTGATTTCAGCCAGACAATTTTCTGGTATTAAATATTGATACATTGTACTTTGAAATGACATTTAATGTCATGTATAGAACAGATGATCGTTGCTATTTCTCATAAACAACAAGCATTTTACCATAACAACAAAGACCTACACAATCAGTATATTTAACATTTTGTAAGAAAAACATGTAGTTCTACAAAAATGTTTTAATTCTGTTAAGCTAGGATCAGCACAAACTGAAGACATACTCTCCTGACAGTATATAGATAATGAAATAGTCCTGTGTTTAGAGAGAAAGTATATCACTTATTTGATAACATACATTTGTAATCTATAATCACTTCCACAGTAAAAGGAAAATTTCACTATGTATGAATAAAATACATGCATATCAAATTTCTGATTTTGTAAGAAAGTATACATGTATTTACATGTACCAAATCTCACTTGCTATATAACAGATTTTGCAATGATAAAAGTAACATTTTCCCATACATTCTGATGAATTGTGATAAAAAAAGTTGTTAATGAATTCATCAAAAGCAGTATTTAGTATGAATATAACATCTGGAAAATCTCATTACATTTTTAAACAGTCGGGGGGGGGGTTCATAAATGAAAAAGGATCTACTGATTATACCACACCTGTGTGATGATTTACCTACCGATTATAACACACCTGCTTGACGACCAACACTTATCGATTGACTACTGGGCCCAGATGTTCATACAAGTCATTACTTTTCTTCATACCGATATGTTGAATCCTTATACCTTTAGCTTTAAATTTAGTCTGGAATTTCAATATATTTTTTGAAAAAAATAGAACATGGAAATTTACTATAAAGTTTTCATTCAGCTAATCAAGTTTTGAACAACCAGGAGAGGGATTACAAATATACTGGCTTTGCCTGCTTTCCCTACCAAGTGATGCTACTACTGAGCAGCTCATTAGCTGCCAAGTAACAAGCCAGCTGATGAAACAACTGAGCAAGAAGTAACAAACAAATGATGATACAACTGATCAAGGAATAATCAACAAGCCAACTGATGGTACTAACAATCCAAGTGATGCTACTGCTGAACAAGGAGTAACAAGCCAGCTGATGGTACTAACAATCCAAGTGATGCTATTATTGAACAGCTCATGAGCTGAGAAGTAACAAGCCAGCTGACGATACAACTGAACAAGGAGTAACAAGCCATCTGATGCTACTACTGAACAGCTGGACTGAAAAGTAACAAGACGGCTGATGATACAACTGAACAAGAAGTAACAGGCCATCTGATGATACAACTGAACAGCTGTGTCAAACAGAAACAAGTCCTGTGATGATAGTACTGAACAGCTGGGCCTAGGAGTAACATGTCTGATGATGATAGTACTGAACAGCTGGGCCTAGGAGTAACATGTCTGATGATGATAGTACTGAACAGCTGGGCCTAGGAGTAACATGTCTGATGATGATAGTACTGAACAGCTGGGCCTAGGAGTAACATGTCTGATGATGATAGTACTGAACAGCTGGGCCTAGGAGTAACATGTCTGATGATGATAGTACTGAACAGCTGGGCCTAGGAGTAACATGTCTGATGATGATAGTACTGAACAGCTGGGCCTAGGAGTAACATGTCTGATGATGATAGTACTGAACAGCTGGGCCTAGGAGTAACATGTCTGATGATGATAGTACTGAACAGCTGGGCCTAGGAGTAACATGTCTGATGATGATAGTACTGAACAGCTGGGCCTAGGAGTAACATGTCTGATGATGATAGTACTGAACAGCTGGGCCTAGGAGTAACATGTCTGATGATGATAGTACTGAACAGCTGGGCCTAGGAGTAACATGTCTGATGATGATAGTACTGAACAGCTGGGCCTAGGAGTAACATGTCTGATGATGATAGTACTGAACAGCTGGGCCTAGGAGTAACACGTCGGATGATGATACTTTAGCCTTGCTTCACCTACTGTTATAAGCCGACACACAACACTCACACAGGGGAGACAACTCCAAACAACAGCTTCAACACATTACATTTACCTCGGGTGTACTAGTATACTAGTATTTCTCACACACAAGAAGTTTGAACCAAATCTAATTTATAAAACAATTTTTACATTTAATGTAATTATGTTTCATAATCTATGGAAGTTTTTATGCATATTACAAGTTCTAACTTGTTTGGTTTCTATTTAAAGAATTTATAGAAGCTTGCATGTTTTTGAACAATGAAACATGCAGAATACCGATTATAGTTCGAATATGTTGAGCATGCACACAATATTAACACAGTGCCACCTGTCATTGATTATATTACATACACACATTACATCATAAATGTTCGCTTAAAACCTGTTAAGAGAAATGATTGGAAGCAGCAAAAAATAAAGAATTGTTTTCACTTACAATTTACCTGTGTATGTTAACCAGCAGAGCTTTCAGTTGACCTTCGACATTTACCAATTTCAAAAGTCAAATAATCTTTTCCCTGAAATTTTAAATGCCAAAACATTTGTCAAATAGACATTTCAAACCCAAAAGTCAATATACAAACTCTCCCTGAAAGCCCTGATCAGCTCTAGGTAAACAAACTCTCCAAGGTCTAATGAAAGCCCTGATCAGCTCTAGGTAACTTACATCTTATGTACAAACATTGTATATGTACTGTACAAAGAAAATTAAATTCATAAAGAGAAAAAAATATATTAAACTTTCAAGTGATACATCAATACACAGTTTGACGATTAACAGTTATTATGTATTTGGGGAGAATATAGTGTACATAATACTATTCTTAACCCATACAGCGAAAAATGTACTGTGATTGGAAAGGCTAATTGGTGAGCATTTATCCAACTAATAAACATATAGTGTGCTGTACATAGCATTTTCTATTTCATATATGCATCTCTATTACATAAAGAACACCTTCAGACCTATACCCCCCTCAGTGGTGGGTTGGACTAGCCCTTCTCTGTACATTCATAAATAAGTCAGGGGCTGTATCTTTTAAAATTCCTTGATTCTCCTTGGAGTGATGATAGTAAAATGTAATCAATCTGAGACTCGAATTTCAAAGATATCAAAATAAGAGCTTGCACATTTGTATACACTAATCGAAAATAGTGATACAGTAGACTTAAGAAATATAGTCAATAGTCTATACTGTTATAAGTCTGACACAGTACACATCAGTTACGTCAATATGATTTTAAACAAGTCTGATGGAGTAAAACATTTCTAATGATGTGTATATCACTCTAGCTAATTCTGAGAAGTTATGAATAACAAATGATTGACAAGATACATGTTTATATCATGTACTCAAATGAAATGTTCGACCACAAACAATGTTTCTGTACCCTCATCACACTAACACAAGCATACACATACCCCCACAATGATTAGTACACACAAATTCACTCAATCGTCACAGCAACAGAAAAAGCAAATAGAAACCCACTGGCATACAATAGATATATAACAATAAATGACCCAACTCCTTTTATCCATACTTTACCCACATGTACATCATTTCATAGCAACAACATGGTTATTTGTACCATCTTATTTTTACTTATTATATGGATATCTGTATACGTACCATCTTATTTTTACTTATTATATGGATATCTGTATATGTACCATCTTGTTTTTACCTCACTTTTATTACATCATTCACATATATGTACGTTAATTGTCCCATATTATAGTACTGTATACAGAGTCGTTTTCATGGCAGTGTTATTTCTTGATTTTTTGCAGCAACACAACAGTGACAAGTTCTTTAATAGCTATACTCCAGTATTATACGTATACATACAAAACAATCTTGAAACTGCAAATTAGACTCTTCAAGAATTTTTTCTTTCTTTCTTGTGAAAATAAGACTGCATGAAAACAAAACTGCATACAGTAACCATTTCATATTCTTGACCTATACCCAACTTAGTGGACAAGTCCACATATATCACTCCTACAGTTCAAAGTGAACAGCCCAGATCACCACTACAGAAAACTGTGGCCATTAGCTAGTTCTTCACTTTACCCTCTCACAACTATCCCTGTGTACGCCAGCTGAATCCATCACAACACGAACACTCGGGTGTGTACAATGACAAAGCACACAATGTGTATGGTGTTTTTCACTTTGATAAGAGTATGGCTCATCATGACCTATATATGGTTAATTTAAGACTTAATCAGAGTCGTCAAGATTGTATGCAGGTAGTTTGAGGGTACAGTAGCCTACCCCTGTTAGACTCCTGGGTAATGCCCCAACAGTTTCCCAGATACCTGTGTACAGGTCAAACCGCGAAACAAGTTTCTGTCCAGTTTTAGTCTGTACGTTGTAACCCCCTAGTACATATATCTGGTCATTGTAAACCACACATGAAGCCTCTTTGTGGGAAATAGACAAGGGTGCAATTATAGTCCACTGGTCCGTGGATGGGTCATAACACTCCGACTGCATGACTGGTTGTGCCTGCTGGTTCACATTGAGGTTACAACCACCAAACACGTACAGTTTATATTGTGTTGCACACATGACATGCCAACCACGTGGCGTCAACATGGACGCCATGTCTTCCCACTGATTGGTGGAGGGGTCGTATCGCTGCATGTCAGGAGTGAAGTGATTACCACTGTAGCCCCCAGATATATAGATGTGGGCCCCATACACTGCTCCAGCATGAGCATGGTAGGACATGGGCATGGGCGCAATCATCTCCCACGTGTTGTCTCCAGGGTTGTAACATTCTGCAGTGGCCAGACTGCCATCCTTGAATTTGCCCCCAACAGCATAAATCCTATTATGAAGTGCTCCTGCAAAGAAATAGGCTCTCTTGTTAATCATTGGACACACTTGAAACCAATTATCAAAGCGAGGGTCATATCGTAGAACTGAATTGACTGCTGACTCTCCGTGGGCACATTGTGTGGTGCAGCCCCCTAATACATACAGGAAGTTATTGAACACCACCACCTGCATGTGACTAAGAGCACTTGGTAATGATGCAATCTCTGTTCTGTTTAGTAAACTATTAGAAGTGATTTTGGAATCAAAGACCAATATTTCATCATGTAGACAGGGATTAGGGTGGATCTCTCGTCCCCCAACACTAGCCAGACGCTCCACAAATGAGCGGAGGTGTACACTATAGCTGGCTTCCAAGGGTTGCGAGTGGGGTACCACGTGGTAGTTTAGAGCGGCCAGTACCATCTGTCTCAGTTCTGTATGAGTCATCATCATGTCCACTCGCTGCACATGCTGTACCAGGTCAGCTGGATTGATGAGAGGGAAGCGAATAAGCTTCATCAGCTGTATAGCCTGATCGTCCTGGTTACTGTTTAGTAGAAACCACTCCCATGTGATGTGGAAAATGTCAATCTCACGCAAACACAAACGGTCGCTGTTCAGACAGTTGATCATCTGATCATAGGTGAGAAGGTGAAGGGTTCCCTCCTTTGAGATCTGCATGAGATTCCGAGCTATAAACACGTCTATTTGCTTCAATGCGTTGTTCATGCTGTAAAGTTTGGCTGTGTTTATAAAATCATAGAAATTACTAGTGGTCATACCACTTAGGAAGTTCCTCTCACAGAATTCAATCACAGGTGTCACTTGTAGATGTGTGGCTGCAGCAATCACATCGAAGATGTCATCACCCTCCAAGGTGGTTGTGGAGGTGTAGATAACCTCCAAAGTTTTGTCCAGGCCTTTACTTGTGATGCCTTTCAGCTCAATCTCCCGCTGCGTGCTCTCCCGCATTCCACTTGTGAACATTGACCGAAAGTAGTCCGAGCAGGACACCAGAATTACACGATGGGCATCAAACCTGTGACCTGAAAATCATCAAACAGGAGGTAAGGTTTTACAATGTAAACCTGATCAAACCGTTTATTAAAACAATCACCAATATACATTGTATAATTTCCCTATATATACATATATAACTGCTCCAGATGTAACTAGGCCCAAGAAACTGTCATTCAATGCGAAGAAGTACTTTTATGTATACAGTTTTTCATTTGATAATACTTCTCATGACAATTAAACTGTATTAAGCTTTATTGGCTGCTGATTATCATTACATGGACAATTTATATGTAAGAATAATTATTAAAACAATAGTTTGGAAAAGAATTTAATTAGAACCCTCGCTGACCATGATTTGTTATAAAGCAATCATAACTACTGCAGTGGTTCATTTTCCTTAAGAAGATGGCGATTCCCAAAATATTTAGGTAAACCCCGATATATGCATAATGAAAGGATTCGACGTGCATGATTCATAGCACCTGAACAGTAAGCAGAGACTACTTATTCACTGTTTTTGTGGCTATCAAATCTATGTGAAGTACACAAACCCTCTGAATTATTTTCAGTGTGAATTATCGTACACAAAGTAATGCAAGTGTAATAGCAAGGATTCATTTTATTTTTGAAAAAGAAAAATTCCCAGGCTGCTGGCCTTGATAGTGAACTTGACTATCTGACCAACCTTCTGCAATGAGTGTGACATCACACAGGATCTTGTCGTTTTTGAGCTTGTGAAGGCCCTGTAGGATTTTCATCCCATGCTCTGGCCGTTCCTCCATGCGGCATGCCTCATTGTTACTACTGCTCTGCAGCTCCTGGAACTCCTCAGCACCAGCCATCTTGGAAGTCTACACAGATTCTTGTCTTGGTTGACACCTGGTCACTTTCCAGCTCGTCCAACTATACATCACCATATCACTTACACTTCCTCCACCTACATGTCAAACAGTGACAAATCATTAAACATTGTAACTATATATTATCAAGTATTCAACACTTGTGTAATGCAATGCTAACACCGTAAGCTTTTAAGGTTATCAAATGACAAGGACTTTATGTCTTCCAGCAGGCTTTTTAGTAACATTTATCAGAACAGGCCAAATGACATTTTCATCAGATAAACTTTTGTAAACTTCCTGACATGTTAAAACTGTACAGTTTCAAACAGATGTTAGAGTAGTAGGTTATAACAGTGCTGTCGTCAGATGCTAAGACTGAATGAGGAGGAAATAGTGTAAAGGATCTGGATTCAATGCCAATGGTAACTGGGTAGGTCAGATAATACAATTTCCATGGAAGTTTAAAGGTTTCAGGTTTTAATCCAACTGTGCATTTTCTGTTGTTCAGTTTCTTTAAACTTTGAAATGAGAACAACAATTTGATAAATATATGATGATTGGAAATTGGTGACAAAGAATCACTGAATGACACATTCCTATTTTCCCTCAAGAAAAACTGTGTACGCTCATGTCTCTGTCAGTTCTCATGAACATTTTCTTTGTTTCACATCTATTTTCAGGGAGAATCCCGGGAGCTGAGGGCAACAGGCCTATTTTAGCAATTTTAGTAAGGCCTATTTTAGTTAACATCTTGTGGGCTAAAACATGTTAACTTTATAACCATATTTGATGTTGTCTCATCTCTTGTTTTGAATAATGATTACTCTTATATACAGAAGCCAGACTAGTGATCACGTACAGGTTAACGAGATATACCAGGTATACTGTAGGCAGCGTATCTTTGTTTCATTAGTAAGGTATGTATATCTCATTACCAGGTGTACTGTAAGACAGTGTATCTACGTTTCATTCGTTTATTTAACCTTTAACTTACATAGGTATTTGTTCCTGTTTACATTCTTAAAGCGCTCTGATGTTTGGTTGTTATCTTAACAACGAGAATTGACACACAGACCACCTTCAGCTCTTACTAAGACAGGTAGGATTCCTAGTAGAAGTGAAGACAAGCAAGGGCCAATTCTTTAATTGTGCATCTGTATTGAACTGGTGTCGTTTAATTAGTGACGTTCCAAATACCGATATAAACTATAACATGCTCCGTCCCATGTTATAATCCCTGGCTGGTAAGTAACCTGCTTCAGTCACATCTCATAAGCTGTAGATGCCATTAGTGTCAACATCCCCCTCCCCATGTAAGAATTTACAAGTTAAACTTTCCATTAAGGAATTCATCGACTGGGTATGCTGAACATCACTGAACATACCACTTGCAGAAGTTTGATCTCATTCTGCCTAATATTCGAAATTTGAAGGATCGATTTATGTAAAATCAAAAGAAAATGGGAAACAGGAGGGACCAATATCAGTTTTAAGGGCACCTAGTCTAAAGCCTATGACCCCTTCTGCTTCTGCCAGTACAATTTTTGCATTATCAAGTATATTTCTTACTAATGGTACTCATAAAAAAATCATCAGGATCTATAATGGAAATAGGTTTTTCTAAAATAATTTTACATAAAAAGTTTAAAGCACTGATTCCTGATCTAGTTGGCTGATATGTCATGAGAGTCAAGGTGAGAAGAGGAAATGACAGATTTGAACTAAGTTAATAGGTGATTTTATCTATCTACATACAGCTGGCTATGTTTCAGCTTGGTTCCAGTCTGCTTTTACGCATTGACATGACATTTGCATATAAAACTATTTTGGAACAGGGAAAGATGAAGCAAACAAGTTTTTTTTATATCTCGTGTCATTGGTATATGGATTAGAATAAGTTTAATGTTTTATCGAGCCATAAGATGGTTTATAATTTTGTACATTTATATGAAGTCTTGATATTTTTTCTTCTTTGGATTACAACTAACAATTGAAACAATTAACAACATGTTGTCTTTCAAATATTCGCATGTTATTCTGGTATCACAATGACTGAATGGTTTGGTATGGATTTAAGAGAGAGTACAAGGATGCAGGCTAATGCATATTGTCGAAATTCCAAATCAGGAATTCCCAAACCCATTGAACCAAACTTCCTGTTAATAAATTCAAATTAATCATCGAAAAAATCACAGTTCTTACAGGTACAGATGAAATATGTCAGTATGGTCTTTCTTCGTCAATATTATTGTCGTGAAAAATACGAACTACAACTGTTTTATATTGAACTTATTAATAAATTGGATCTCCATAAATCGGAATTCATTTAGAATCTGTGACTGATTATTTAAAGACAGTATGAGATTTCTGTGTATATTACGTATCATCGTTATTCGACATCTACAGCTTATATGAACACACTCAACACAAAATTCTGATCTAAAGATAGGGGCACATCCTGTGAATCATCACTATTCTTGACGCACCATTGCAACGAGACCAATTTTGTTTTGGTAAATGCAAAAGAGTTATGCGTACAACAATATGGCAGATTTCTCCCCATTTCGACCTCGGACGGTCCTATCAACTTACAGAGAGGAAGATGGGAGTCGCTAGGAGACGCTCCTAAGTGTTCATCCCACATAGGTTCATGATACAGCGTCAGATTGTTCTCCAAATACTCACGATACCATGATGACCGATGCGAGTACCTGCGGAAATGACATCCAGTGTTATTAGCTGAACGCATGCGCATTAGGTTAATAAACATTTACTTCCTGTTTCGATTTTGCGTCGTTATACAAAGTTATTCCCCTTAGATTCCCACGCACATGTTGCAAACTATTTCCGTAGTTAAAAGTTGTTACCAGATACGTATATAAATACCTCGGTTTTATATATGTCTCTTTTCTAACTGAATATAAAAAGACGATTTATTTTTCACGATTTAAAACTAGTTTAAAATTGTTTTTGAGTAGTCTACCAAAAGAAAAGATTCAGATAAGCTTTAAATATTTTCTGAGATTATATCTGGTTTAATAGTGTAAATCCCGTTTTTGGCGGTATCAATGTTAAACTATCTTACAGTGGTGTCAGGTCATTTCGCTCTAAATTCCGGGGGGAAATGACCAATTGTGAAGAATACGATATCTACATATAGTGTAACAATGAGTGTGCGGAATTAAAACCATGGCAAGACCCGAGACGTATATATATCATTGTAATATATACGTCTCTGGCAAGAGTTATTTAGCCAAAATGTTGCATCTTTATGCGACAAAAATATTGAATTATTGCGTTAACTATCAAGGTGAAGATTTTCGCTTTTGTAACATTTTATGCAGACAGCAACTATTATTAGATAATCTCATTTATTATTTCCCCGGATTGATTTTGATGGACACATTTACTGTTATAATTTATAAATTCATCATTGTGAAAATTACTGGGCTATTTTTGGGGTAGGATTCCTGGACTTCTGAACTTTCTACTTTCTATTAATATATACTCGTGATACACGTTTTCTCATTTCATTTCAACAAATTTTATTGACAAAGTTGATACAAGTCAATTGGATGGAATAACAGGCAAAACCTATATAAATTCTCTCCAGCGGTGGCTAAATTAACGGATTCTATTATTTTGGATTTGATTTAATTAATACATCCATTTTGAAATGAAAATTATAAACAAAACAAAAAAGTTAAAAGGATGTAACTCCTTCTTAAGTAACATAACTGAAATACAAATACATTCACACTTCTCACATCACACACAAAACACTTCCACAGCTATTATTTATTTTGTATAACATTTTACAATGTATATAAACTATATAGCTATCAAATCACACAGATATTGGCAGACCTTGACCAAAAGTCCATGTGCAAATATATGCACAGGTCACAGTTATTGTAATTTTATATGCAAACATAAAGCTAGTCTATGTGCAATTCAATGTATAAAATAGAAACTGTAAAACAAGACAGATTGAACAAATCTTACAACAAACAACAACAAACAAACATGCTCAACTAAAAACTCCTATGACCATTTATAGAAAAGTAGGTAAAGTTGAAAAAGGATCTTTTCCAGAGATTTTACTTCTTTGTGGACGGTATAATTGAAATAGGAAAAGAAAAGTATAAAAGTACAAAGTCATGGCTGGTTAGATCATATAGAGATTAAAACGCCTGGATTTACCAATAAATAACTGTACATCATTAAGTTACTGTTTTTTTGTTAGTCCATCACAATCAGGACAGCCTTGTAGAAAAATGATTGTATCAATATGGTTGTGATTTACATAATTATCAACAGAAGTAAACAAAGTAAGTCTGAGCTCATTATACAATGGACATTCAAGAAAATAATGGAAAACCGTTTCATATTCAAAAGAGCAAGCACAAGAGGGACAGTCAGTTAAATGGTCATTGAATAAATCAAAATTTAAATTGCTACATAAGTTTCTAAGTTGACAAAGAATAATATTGGCCCGTCAGTTTTAAAAACTAAGGTTGCTTCATTATCGATAATACTATCTTTATTTAGTTTGTGTTTAAAGGTTGCAAGAGTTGGGGAGTTTAAGAGATCATTATCAGTAGTGTTAGTTGTGCGGCACATTAGAGGGAGGAAACTCAAAATAATTGTTAGTTCTGCATATTTCCGCTTTCATTTCCGTATACATCTCTGATTTTTGACGTACGGTCACTTAATTGGCGATAAGTTGACAATAAGACGAAAATGGATAAAACAAAATAGCTTTAAAGTAATAACACCTTGAAACCCAGAACTCTGAAAAAGACTAAAACAAACTAATAAATTATAATTGTGATGTCGGTTGTACATGTATACTACTTTCCGGCACCAAACAATATATAGAACTTTATTATTTCTGAGATTGTGACAATTATAATTTCTCTGCCGAACAGAGCGAGGCGATTTTTTTCTTCTGAAGATGTAATATTAAACTTGTTCAAGCACTGCCAAGCGTAGAAAGCTAGAATTTATCGGACATTATTACCATTGTCAAACAGATCGAATAAGGCATAGAATAGTTTTCTGAGTTTGCAGTATTATTCCATGTTATATTACCAATTCTCTGAAACAATGGTAAAAATGTAGGTTTTTGGTTAAAATGTTGATGTTTGTGTCATGCCTTTCATGTGGATGTAGTTTAGGCGAGCATTTTAGCAATTAAATATGATTTATTTTGTCATAAATATGAATTATGATTAGACTGTTTGTCTATTATTGTGAATTTGTATGCATGCATATGTACAAGGGGGCAACACCTGTTAAAAAGAGTATATATATACATGCCAGGCTTTTATGCTAACATTGGTTATTATTCAGATGCTAAGGTGGATGCTTTATTGTCTTTGAAATTTTTGAAATTTACATTTTTTAACAGGTATAATAATAAATCACTCCTGGTGATCGTGTGTACATGAAACCACAGGTGAAAATACAGGTTTATCGATCATGAAATGGTCTCTACCTTTGAAATAACAATTAACATATATACCTTATTCCAACGGCTGTATCCCTGAACGCATACATTTTAAAAACACATATCAGGAAATATAATTACCCTCCCTTTGAAGTTTCTACCTATTGTTCTCAACATGTATGCGTTCAGGGAACACACCATTTCAACAGATGGTTGCATCCTCTCTCAACGGTTGCTTCTCACCTAGCCAACATTTGAAAAATACCCAGTGTCACCCTGGCCAACATTTCAATCTTTACAACCTGAGTGAACTTCAGTTATAGTCTGTTTCAGATATACTAATCTCTATTATAATATTTCTATGTATACAGGTACAGGTAGTTTTTAGGTATGTAATACTGCTCACACTATTAAGTCTGTTTATCATGAATTTGAAAATATATCAGTCATTTTACCATGGCCAATGCACAAGTACAGGTTGACTTTTTAGAGAATGGTAGAGGTGGCTATTACCTACTTCATGCTGGCTACAAATTTTCTATACGGACAAGACGGGATAACCGTGTTTATTGGAGATGTGTTTTACGGCAGTGTCCAGCAACATTTATAACCCTGGATAACATCCCAGTTGTATTTGGGCACCAACATCACAACCATCCTCCTGATACTATTTCACTAGCAGCTGACTCATTCATTGTAAATGTCAAAAAGCGTTGTCGAGATGAAGTCAATGCTATCCCGGCAATATTTGAAGAGGAACTTGGCAATCTCCGTGACAGAGACTATGATGATGATGTTGAGGACATGATAAAAAAAA